TATTATTATTACATTTATTATTTTACTCTATAATCCTCATTATTATTACATTTACATGTTATTAAAATAAGAATAGAGTAAAATAATGTAAACGTAATAACAATAATAAATAGAATAAAATAATAAATGTAATACTCGAGTGAAATAATAAATATAATAATAAATAGAGTAGTAATAAATGTAATTAAAATAAGCAGAGTAAAATAATGTACATGTAATAATAACAATAATAGAGTAAAATAAATGTAATAATAATAATAAATAAAGTAAAGTAATAAATGTAATAATAATAATAATCTTATTATTTTAATTACATTTATTACCACTCTATGATTATTATAACATTTATTATTTTACTCTATTTATTCGTATTACATTTATTTATTCTATTTATTATTGTAATTACATTTATCATTTTACTCTATTATTATTATTATTATTATTATTATTACATTTATTACTTTATTTATTATTATTATTACATTTATTTTTACTCTATTATTGTTATTATTATTACGTGTACATTATTTTACTCTATTCTTATTTTAATTACATGTATTACTACTCTATTTATTATTATTACATTTATTATTTCACTCTAGTATTACATTTATCATTTTATTCTATTTATTATTGTTATTACATTTACATTATTTTACTCTTATTATTTTAATTACATTTATTACCACTCTATGATTATTATAACATTTATTATTTTACTCTATTTATTATTATTACATTTATTTATTCTATTTATTATTGTAATTACATTTATCATTTTACTCTATTATTATTATTATTACATTTATTACTTTTTTATTATTATTATTACATTTATTTTTACTCTATTATTGTTATTATTACGTATACATTATTTTACTCTATTCTTATTTTAATTACATTACTACTCTATTTATTATTATTACATTTATTATTTTACTCTAGTATTACATTTATTACTTTATTCTATTTATTATTATTATTACATTTTTTTACTCTATTATTGTTATTATTGTTGTAATATAATATTATAATATTATTGTTATAATAATAATAATAATAATAATAATAATAATAATAATAATAATAGAAGGAGATCACTTCATCCTCAAACGCTCTCTGCTTCATTCGGGAAAATGCTGCACTCGCAGAGCTCAGACGATGTTGTATTTCAGTGTCAACGTTGACTTTTATGGAGCGGTTAGGGTTAGGGTGATAAGGACCCCATCCCATAATATCCTATTAGCTTTCTACTCCATCTTTGCACCCTCCTGTCTTCTTTTCGCAGGAATGCCTGAGAACTATACGGATTCACAATCAGAGACCAACTTAGATTGCAACCATGAGTTCACCACTGGTCATAGATGAAGATCTTATGGGAGACGAACCCAAACCTCTGGATCACTATATACGGAAGGGTAGGTCCTAGGGTTGGATAGGTTCCTTCAGAAGAGCTTGAAACTCGTAAAAAACTTCCGACTTTGGACTTTCGAAGCAGTTTTGAACCATGCAGGAAAGGTTGGTGGTGGTGGTGGTGGTGAGGGTGGTGGTGGTGGTGAGGGTGGTGGTGGTGGTGAGGGTGGTGGTGATGGTGAGGGTGGTGGTGGTGGAATCCAAATTTGAACCACTAACCTTTTGTTCCAGAAATATTCCATAATGTTCGGATGTCTCCCAAGTTTATTTTAATTTTCAGAACCATTAAGCAACTTTGATAAAGCCTAAAATGTTTTTAAATCTCATGTTTTCCCTCCCCCGGCGACACAAGGGAGGGTTGAGGTGGGCGTGGTTAAGCACAGCCATTGCTGTCGTTTGTGAAGGCCAGGCCCCCAATGGTAGAGATTGTAAAAGGCCCTCCTGTTAATGAGCGGCAAGGCATTTCCCACACTGCCTCGATGCTCATTAGCCATAATGGCTGAAGGACCCCAAATAGCTGTCTGTAGCAGTCATTAGTAGGCTTGGGCGGTTTCGTTCGTTAATTTCGTAATTCGTTATTAATTCGTATTTAAATTAGCTTACGATCCGATATTGAGCCATGCAGGAATAGTGTGAGGAGTAAATTAGATTCGAAACAATTTTTTTCAATTTATTTCGTAATTATTTCGTAATTATTTCGTAATTATTTCGTAATTATTTTGGCATGTCTGGTGCAAGTTTTATAGTTGTTGTTTGTTTGATCACACCAACAGTCAACAACAGAGGGAGAGGGAAGCTTCAGAAGTTCCCCCTGTCCCATTTGGAGGTTTTTTTTAGCATATTGCGCAATCTCGTCTGCCATTAACGAATCGATTTGTAATTTTACGAAATTTCGTAAATTTCAAAATTTTTTAAAGAAAAATTTCGGAATTATTAAAAAAAAATGAAACGCAAGGGCCCCCTAAAAACAAAACGAGTTTAGAACCAAATTTTTCCGTGGTTACCCAAGCCTAGTCATTAGCCATAATGGCTGAAGGACCCCAAATAGCTGTCTGTAGCAGTCATTAGCCATAATTTATTTATTTATTTATAATTCAAACTTATATGCCACCACTCCCCTGGGGCTCGGAGAAGGCTAAAATCTAACACAATTTTAAAACAATTTAAAAACAATTTAAAAACAACAATATCAGAGATCAAAGGCCTGTCGAAACAGATACGTTTCCGCAGTTTGGGAGTCCTCCTGGATCCATTGCTCACACTTGAGGCTCAGGCGTCGGCGGTGTCTGGGAGGGCTTTTGCACAATTGAGACTCGTGCGCCAACTGCGACTGTACCTCTCGAAGGCTGATCTGGCCGGGGTGGTCCATGCCTTGGTCACCTCTAGATTGGACTACTGCAATGCGCTCTATGTAGGGCTGCCCTTGAAAACGGCTCGGAAATTCCAACTGGTCCAACGGACAGCGGCCAGGATGTTACAGAGAGAGGTCAACCCTCCCGTTCAAGGAGCTCCACTGGCTGCTGTTTATCTTCCGAGCCCAATTTAAGGTGCAGGTGCTTACCTACAAAGCCCTGAACGGTTTGGGACCCGCCTACCTGCGTGACCACATCTCCGTCTACGAACCCACACGCTCACTTCGGTCATCTGGAGAGGCCCTGCTCGTGATCCCGCCTGCGTCGCAAGCGCGTTTGGTGGGGATGCGAGACAGGGCCTTTTCTGTGGTGGCCCCCCGACTTTGGAATGCCCTCCCGAAAGATCTCAGACAGGCCCCTACATTGGCAGTCTTCAGAAAGAACTTGAAGACCTGGCTGTTCTGATGTGCCTTCTCAGATTAGGAATCTCCAATACCAAGTCCTAGAAGCACTTTAGTAGAACGAAGATTGCTGCACATCGCACACTGCACTTACTTTATAATCCTACATACATCCCGCCACATCAGCACTTTTAATCTTGTACCCATTACTCTGGCCCGGCCCAGTTTTACAGTGTCTCGATGTATTGTTTATTGTTGGTTGTTTATTCTGCTTAACTGTTTTTAATTTGCTTTAGGTGTTGTATTGTTGTATTGTGTTTTGAGGCCTTGGTCTGTGTAAGCCGCATCGAGTCCTTCGGGAGATGCTAGCGGGGTACAAATAATAATAATAATAATAATAATAATAATAATAATAATAATAATATGTCTTACATGCCCTGAGGAAAGCTGGTAAGTCCCGCAAGGCACGGACTTCAGGTGGCAGAGTATTCCAGAGTGATGGGGCCACTGCTGTGAAGGCTCTGTGTCTGGTTGCCGTTAGACGCAAGGTCTTGACACTGGGAATTTCCAATAGATCTTGGTCCTCAGAACGGAGGGATCTCTGGGGTTGGTAGGGGGAGAGGCGGTCCCTCAGGTACATCGGCCCCAGACCATGCAAGGCCTTCAAGGTGAGTACCATCACTTTGAAAATGATCCGGTGCTCAATGGGTAACCAATGCAGCTGCAGTAAGATTGGGGTTATGTGGCATCTCATCGGAATTCCCGCAAGAAGCTGAGCGGCTGCGTTTTGTACCAACTTGAGCTTCCGGATCACCGACAGAGGAAGGCCAATGTAGAGGGTGTTACAGTAGTCTAGTCTTGAGATGAGGGTGTTACAGTATGGCCTGGATCACCGTAGATAGGTCATCCCTGGACAGGGAGGGGGCCAGTCGTCTAGCCTGCCGCAGGTGAAAGAAGGCGGTTCTGCTCACGGCAGAGACCTGGGCCTCCATCGTCAGCAGAGGGTCCAAAAGGACTACCAGACTCTTGACCAACGATGACGGGCATAACACCTCACCATCCAGGGTAGGCAGATGGACGTCCCCACTGCCCAGTCGACCCAGCCATAGGATCGCCGTCTTTGCTGGATTCACCCTCAACCTGCTGGCACGCAGCCAGAGGCGGCCCTAGGTAATTTTCAACAGTAAGCAAACAGTATTTTGGCGCCCCCCCCCCAACCAATCATTGATATATATTTTCTTTGTCGTGGGAGTTCTGTGTGCCATATTTGGTTCAATTCCATCATTGGTGGAGTTCAGAATGCTCTTTGATTGTAGGTGAACTATACATCCCAGTAACTACACTTGCCGCACTTGCTCCCTTGCCTGGCCCGCTTTGGGTCCGGAGGCGTGCCTGAAGACCCCGGCGTGTGCACCAAAAGTCACCTCTTCTCCTGGCGAGAGAGAGAGAGAGAGAGAGAGGTGGAGATGACCACCTTTCCTGAAGGTAGGCGCAAAAACAAAGGAGGGAGCGGAGGTGGGAGATACCTCCAGCCGGAGGGGCTCTCTCTCTCTCTCTCTTGGTCCCAATGGCTGAAGAGAAAGTCAGGAGAAGAGGCGACTTTTGGTGCACACGCTGGGGTCTTCAGACATGCCTCCGGACCCGAAGCGGGCCAGGCGCGGCGGCTCCGCCCCTTGGCCCACCGCGGATTGGGGAGAGGAGAGGAGGCGGGTGGAGCGCCGGGGGATCGGGAAAGGGAGCCGGTCATGGGGAAGGGATCGAACGCGGAGAACGATTGAGCGCCGGCTCTGCTCGCGCACCCGGTGGCCAGGTGGAGCAGGAACGAGAGGGGCTAGGCGAGGCTCAAGGGCCCGGCCCCTTTGGGAAGAGGATCGCCCGGCAGCGAGGCAAGAAAGCCGAGGCTCCCCCCGGACTGCTAGGGCTGTTGTGAGCTGAGGGGGCGCTCACAAGTGGCGGTCGAGGGGCATTTACAGAGGCGCCTCTGCGCCCCTGGCAAAAAAAGTGTTCTGCGACCGCTTACTTCGCGTAATGGACGAGCCACCCCTGCACGCAGCCATCCAGTAACGGCCTCGAGGCACTGATGGAAACAATCGGGTACAGAGTCCGGTCGGCCTTCCATCTTCAGCACCAGCTGAGTGTCATCGGCGTACTGATAACACTCAAGCCCAAAACCTCAAACCAGCTGAGCAAGTGGTTGCATATAGATGTTAAACAACAGAGGGGAGAGAATGGCCCCCTGAGGAACCCCACAAGATAGAGTTGACAGCAGCGGGGTGGTATACTCCCTGTATGATGCTCCAGTGAGCAGTCTCGCTGCCACCCGTTGGACTAGTTGGAGTTTCCGAACAGTCTTCAAAGGCAACCCCACATAGAGTGTGTTGCAGTAGTCAAGTCGGGATGTAAAAGAGCGTGGACCACAGTCTTTGAGTTTCTGTTTCTTGTTTTTCTATGTTTTGTATATAGATAGATAGATCCTTTCAGTCTGAATATTACTTAAAAATATAAATGTGGAAAAAAATTATGAAATAGTTTTAATTGTTGTAACAAGTCCCCCTTTCTCTTGCATCTGTAATATTGATTTTTTTTCTTCCTCTGGTTCAGTATGCCAACCACATACTTGGTTTATTGTGAAGTTGTTCCTCACACGTCTTTCGCTTGTTCCTATAGGACTGCAGCAATTGCACCAAGAACAACTTCTTTGCGATACAACCATTGTCGTCAACAGCGAACGGTTCCCTTGCCACAGGTACGGTTAGTTTGTGCTATTCACAGAACTCAGAAACCACTGGGGCAATTGACACCAGATTTGGACACTATGTCCCTAACAACCCAATGTATGTTCTCCACTCAAAAAAACCCACGAAAACCAAAAGCAGAAAGGACTTCTAAACTGCATGTCCACAAAGGAGAAACTGCATGTCTACCGAGACCCATGGCCACGCCCCCTCCTTCTCCTCGTGGGGAAACAGCCGGCCGTTAAAGCCAGGCGCACGTGAGTGGAGGTGGAGGCTTGCCGCATGGAGCCCCTTCTCTTCCCCTCCTATGTCAGGAGAGCAGTCTCCTCCTCCTTTCCCTGTTGGAAAGTGCCAGCAACGGAGCGGAGAGCTCCACGCAAGGAAGAAGGGAAGGAGGAGGAGGAGGAGGAGGTGAGGAAGGTCCACGGTGCTTGAATGAAGGACCTTCCTTCTCTCCCTCCCTTCCCTTCTTTCCTCCCTTTCCTTTCTTTCTTTTTCTTCTTTTTCTTCTCCTTCCTTAATTCATGTCAACTAATTACAGTGTTTCATTTACTACTTTTCTACTCAATTACTCAATTTCCTCGATTTAAATTCTTCATTAATTCCTGACATTCCAAGTCACACCTACTTCCTTAACACATCATTTCATTTCCTCCTTCCTTACTTCCTCATTAATTACTTCTATCTCCTCACTTCAATTGAAGTACTACTTTTAACTTATTAAATTCTTTCACAATCCATACATTCCTTTTTATTATTAATGTCAAAAATTATTATTCTTTTCTTTACTCCATAAATCTAATACTTATTTAATTGATTAATTTCATTAAACTTAATCCATTTACTCCATCATTTATTCATCCCCCTATTTTTTTACCTAATTCTTCATTATACTTCATTCATCCATCCACTTCTGTCCATAATTCTTTACTTTTCCTTCTTCCCTGCTTTCCCTCCCATCCTCCTTGTATCCTTACTTACTTAAATGTCCTTCAATTTATTCTCTTCATTCTTCCTGTCCTCCTCTTTTTCCCTTCAATTATTTTCCTTGACCAATAACTCCTTTAATACTCTCTCTTTCTTCATTTCATTCCCTCATTTTCCTTACATCCATACCGTTCTAATCCACTAATTTTATTTCTCTCTTTCTTCCTCCTTCTTCCTCCCTCCTTCCTTCCTTTCTTCCTTCCTCCCTCTTCCTCCTCTTCTTTTCCTTCTTTCCCTTCCTCCCTTCCTTTTTCCTTCCTTCCTGTCCCTCCTTCCTTCTCCTTTCCTTCTTTTCCTTCCTCCCTCTCTCCCTCCCTTTCCTCCTTCTTTCCCTTTCTTCATTTCCTTCCCCTTCATTTCCTTCCCTCCCTCCTTTCTTCACCCCCTCCTTCCTTCCTCCTTCCTTCCTTCCTCCCTCCCTCCCTTTCTGTCCCTCCTTTTTCTTCCTTCCCTTCTTTCCCTCCTCTCCTTCTGTCCCTCCTTACTTCATGCATTGCAGGACATCCTTCATTCCTTTTTACTGGCCTCTTTAACTCCAGTCTCCTCTCCTAAGTCTGTGCACTTCTATTCCTGTCACTTGAAATTACTCCTCCCTACTTGTCTTAAAAAATGCCTTTCTGTCACTCCGCCGTACGCCATTCTTAATTATATTACATGTCCTCACTCCCGTTCGGGACAATCCTCTCCTTCCTTCCTTTCCTTCTTTCTCTATTTCCTCCCTCCCTTCCTTTTTCCTTCTCCCTTTTTCCTTTCCTTCTTTCCTTCCTTTTCTCGCTTCTTGTCAATTTCTCCATTTCCTTCCCTTCAGTAATGACATCATACTGGATTAAGACCTATTTCCTGACAGAGGACGGAGCAACGTCCGCCACAGCCCTTCGCAGGCCCTCCTTTTTTACATGCCTGCCTTCTTGCTCAAACTGGATTGGCTTCATGCCCTGGACCTCCTTCTGCTTCCTTTCAGGCTGTCATCCCTCCTACCACTCCCTCCCTTTCCATGCTTTCACATTCTTATTTCCGTTCCCTCATTCCACGCCTGACTTCGTCATCAACATCATTTCCTTCCATCCTTCCTTCAAATTCCATCACCCCCTTTCTCTCCTTTTTTCTTCCTTCCTTTACCTCTTTCTTTCCTTCTTCCTTTCCTCCTCCTTTCTTCCTCTCCTTTCTTCTTTCTCTCCCTCCTTCCCCTCCCTTCTTTCTTCTCTCCTTCCTTCCTTCCTCTTTCTTCATCCCCCTTCTTTCTTTCCCTCCTTCCTTCCTCCTCCTTCCTTTCCTTCCTCCCTCCTTCTTGTCCCTCCTTCTTTCTTTCTCCTTCCTTCCTGTCCCTCCTCCTTCTTTCTTCCTTTCCTTCTTTCTAAGATATAAATATAATATTAAATGGGAGGGACAGTCAAGAGGTATTAAGAATCATAGAAAAGAGTTGGAAGAGACCTCATGGGCCATCCAGTCCAACCCCATTCTGCCAAGAAGCAGGAATATTGCATTCAAATCACCCGACAGATGGCCATCCAGCCTGTTTAAAAGCTTCCAAAGAAGGAGCCTCCACCACACTCCGGGGCAGAGAGTTCCACTGCTGAACGGCTCTCACAGTCAGGAAGTTCTTACTCATGTTCAGGTGGAATCTCCTCTCTTGTAGTTTGAAGCCATTGTTCTGCGTCCTAGTCTCCAAGGAAGCAGAAAACAAGCTTGCTCCCTCCTCCCTGTGGCTTCCTCTCACATATTTATACATGGCTATCATGTCTCCTCTCAGCCTTCTCTTCTTCAGGCTAAACATGCCCAGCTCCTTAAGCCACTCCTCATAGGGCTTGTTCTCCAGACCCTTGATCATTTTAGTCGCCCTCCTCTGGACACATTCCAGCTTGTCAATATCTCTCTTGAATTGTGGTGCCCAGAATTGGACACAATATTCCAGGTGTGGTCTAACCAAGGCAGAATAGAGCATGGGGAGCATGACTTCCCTGAATCTAGACACTAGGCTCCTATTGATGCAGGCCAAAATCCCATTGGCTTTTTTTGCCGCCACATCACATTGTTGGCTCATGTTTAACTTGTTGTCCACGAGGACCCCAAGATCTTTTCCACACGTTAATTAGCGTTTGATGGCCTGGCAGTTTTTTGGGTGTGGCTTGTCAGTGCCTGGGGGAATCTTTTGTTGGGAGGTGATTAGCTGTCCGTGATTGTTTCCTCTCTGTTGTTCTGCTGTTGTAATTTTAGAGTTTTTAAAATACTGGTAGCCAGATTTTGTTCATTTTCATGGTCTCCTCCTTTCTGTTGAAATTGTCCCCATGCTTGTGGATTTCAATGGCTTCTCTGTGTAGTCTGACATGGTGGTTGTGAGAGTGGTCCAGCCTTTCTGTGTTCTCAAATAATATAGTGTCCAGGTTGGCTCATCAGGTGCTCTGCTATAGAGTGTTAGCTTATATCTTTAGTGCCTTTCATGTTCCTTGATTCGTGTTTGGGTGCTGCGTTGGTGGTCCCTATGTAGACTTGTCCACAGCTGCATGGTATACGGTAGACTCCTGAAGGCTCCCTCTTGTCCTTTGCTGAAGGTAGTTGGATTTTCTTAGTGGGTCTGTAGATAGTTTGTATGGTGTGTTTCCTCATCAGCTTCCCTATGCGGTCAGTGGTTCCCTTGATGTATGGCAAGAACACTTTTCCTCTGGGTGGATCTTCATCTTGACTCTCGTGGCTTCTTCTCGGTCTTGCAGCTCTTCTGATGTCTGAGGTGGAGTCTCCATTGGCCTGGAGAGCCCAGTTGAGGTGGTTCAGTTCATCTTGGAGAAGGTGGGGTTCGCAGATTCTTTTTGCACGGTCTGCCAAGGCTTTGATGGTGCTTCTTTTTTGACTTGGGTGATGGTTGGAGTTTTTATGTAGATATCTATCTGTGTGTGTGGGTTTTCTGAAATCGATTTGTAATTGGGGTGTTTTTTTGTTTCGATATTTAAAATAATTACAAAATTTTCCCCCAAAAAAGTTTTGGTATTTACGAAATTTCGTAAATATTAACGAATTTTTAGAATATTTTTTGTATTTTTTAAGAATAATATTAAAATAATATTAAAATATATTTTAAAATGGAAAATTAACCAAAAAATGGCCCAAATGTGGACCAAACACAGGCAGGGGACAGCAAATGAGAGCACACACCAACAGAAGAGTCTTTTCTTTTTTAGAATATTTTTTAAGAATAATATTAAAATAATATTAAAAAATAATATTAAAAAATAATATTAAAAAATATTAAAAATGGAAAATTAACCAAAAAATTAAGAAACAAATTCACAAAAACCGAAGGAAGTAATGAATCCAAGCAAGGAATATAAGCAGCACTCACAGCAGCAAGGAATGAATCCAAGCAAGGAATGAATCCAATCCAGTTGCTCGCTAGCCATTGCCAAGCCAACCTCTTCTCTCTCCCTCGCCCTCTGCAGCAATGAGCTACGGCCGCGCGGAGCCGCTTTGAAAGGGCTCGCCGGCCAATCAAAAACAAACAGCCAAGGAGCACTGCTTGGGAGCGCCGGATTGGCTCCCAGGCACCAGCATCCTCCATCCAATTTCCGAAACGGGCGGAAGCTCGTTAAAAGGATGGGGGATGCCGCTTCGTTATTTTTAAACCCTTCCGGGTTTGAAAAAATGTTTTGATATCGCTTCGTAAATGCTAAAAATAACGAATGTTTTACGAATAACGAAATTAACGAACGAAACCGCACAGGCCTAGTATATACTGATCTCTGTGTGTGTGGGTTTTCTGTAAACTGTGTGACCCAATTGTTGATCTGGTTTGTGGATGACTAGGACATCTAGAAAAGGCAGTCTTTTTTGTTCCAGCAGGGGCTTCATAATACTGTCATGTATTTTGATAAATAGAACGGTACAGATTAGGCTTGGGTAACAACGGAAAAATTTGTTTCTAAACTCGTTTCGTTTTTAGGGGGTCCATTGCGTTTCGTTTTTTTAAAGAATTCCGAATTTTTTCTTTAAATTTTTTTTGAAATTTACGAAATTTCGTAAATTTCGAATTGATTCGTTAATGGCGGACGCAATTGCGCAATATGCTAAAAAAAACCTCCAAATGGGACAGGGGGAACTTCTGAAGCTTCCCTCTCCCTCTGTTGTTGACTGTTGGTGTGATAAAACAAACAACAACTACAACTAGTAGTAGGTATGGTGCCAGAATGCTGGGGCCCAATTTAAGGTGCTGGTGTTAGCCTACAAAGCCCTAAACGGTTCCGGCCCAAAATACCTTGCAGACCGCATCTCGGCCTATGAGCCCACGAGGGCCTTGAGATCATCCGGGGAGGCTCTTCTCTCGGTCCCGCCTGCCTCGCAGGCACGTCTGGCGGGGACGAGAGAGAGGGCCTTCTCGGTGGTGGCTCCCCGGCTGTGGAACACCCTCCCTGTTGAGGTTAGACAGGCGCCCTCTTTGATGGCCTTTCGTAGGAGCCTGAAAACCTGGCTCTGCGAGCAGGCCTTCAACTAAGTGTATCTGTGGAAAGACGTTAGAACGGACTATGACTACGAATTTGGCTATGACCCCAGGATTAGACGAAGCGGATTTTTAGCATAAGTATATGTCGTAGTAGTAGTTTGTGATGTATTGTTGTAATTTTGTATGCTGTCTTTTTTATGTTGTTGTTCACCGCCACGAGTCGCCCCTAGGGCTGAGAGTGGCGGTCAATAAGTACAAGAAATAAATAAATAAATAAATAAATAAATTATGGTAGAGTGCAACTTCCAGCAGCCCTAGTCAAACTGGAGAAGATGAGGAATCGCTGGGAGTACTAATTCAACAATATCTATTAATATATTATATTATATTATATATATATATTATAATATATTATATATATTATATTATATATTATTATATTATATATTATAATATATTGTTATTATATATTATATATTATTATATTATATTACGAAAATAATTACGAAAAATGGAAAAATTGTTTCGATTCTTAATTACTCCTCACACTATTCCTGCATGGCTCAATATTGGATCGTAAGCTAATTTAAATATGAATTAATAACGAATTACGAAATTAACGAACGAAACCGCCCAAGCCTACTAGTTATCTTCTTTTCCATGGCTCCAAATGGTGAAGGTGTCATCCACATATCTGAACCATATCGTGGGCTTTTTTGTTGCTGTTTCCAGGGCTTTTTTTCTAAACTCTTGGACCTCACAGCTGCATTCGACACCGTGGACCATGACTTGCTGATTCATCGATTTGGCATAGAGTGCTACCAGTATGCAGATGATTGGCTATGTCTGGTGTACGAGGTTTAGCCCTGAAATGGTTCAGTTCGTTCCTCCGGGATCGGAGACAGAGGGTGGAGTGGTCAGGCCAAAGCTCTGAGAGCTCCTGCCTTTGCTGTGGAGTGAGTTCCCCAGGGTGCTATCCTCTCGCCCCTGTTATTTAACATCTACGTCCGGCCACTTGCTGGACTGGTGCGGAGCTTTGGCATAGAGTGCTACCAGTATGCAGATGATTGGCTATGTCTGGTGTACGAGGTTTAGCCCTGAAATGGTTCAATTCATTCCTCCGGGACCGGAGACAGAGGGTGGAGTGGTCAGGCCAAAGCTCTGAGAGCTCCTGCCTTTGCTGTGGAGTGAGTTCCCCAGGGTGCTATCCTCTCGCCCCTGTTATTTAACATCTACGTCCGGCCACTTGCTGGACTGGTGCGGAGCTTTGGCCTAGAGTGCTACCAGTATGCAGATGATTGGCTATGTCTGGTGTATGAGGTTTAGCCCTGAAATGGTTCAATTCATTCCTCCGGGACCGGAGACAGAGGGTGGAGTGGTCAGGCCAAAGCTCTGAGAGCTCCTGCCTTTGCTGTGGAGTTCCCCAGGGTGCTATCCTCTCGCCCCTGTTATTTAACATCTACGTCCGACCACTTGCTGGACTGGTGCGAGCTTTGGCATAGAGTGCTACCAGTATGCAGATGATACCCAGCTACTCTTGCGTCTCGAACCTGGGACAACCGCGATTCCTGAGAACTTTAAGCTGTGTTTGGAAGCAGTGATGAGTTGGCTGTGAGCGAGCAGACTAAAAGTGAATCCTGCAAAAACTGAGATATTCTGGCCCGGCCAGCCGCCAGAATTAATCTAGCAGTCTCTGCCTGATTTCGATGGGGAAGCTCTGGTTCCATCTGCCACTGTTAAAAGCCTTGGGGTTGTGTTGGACTCATTGCTGACGATGGAGGCCCAGATCACTGCCATAAGTAAGCAGGCCTTTTTTCATCTTCGCCAGGCAAGGAAATTGGCATCCTACCTTTCAGTAGAAGCATTGGCAACAGTAATCCACGCAACAGTCACCACAAGGTTGGACTATTGCAATGCCTTATATGCTGGCCTTCCGAAGTCAACAACCCAGAAGATTCGGATGGTCCAAAATGCGGCAGCCAGGCTGCTAGCGGGATCATCTATAAGATCCCATATTACACCGATTCTGCAACAACTGCATTGGCTACCAATAGAACATCGGATCTCTTACAAGATACTGATCCTGACATTTAGAGCTCAAAATGGCCAAGGACCTTTATATCTTAGGGACCGCCTCATTCCTTTTCTCCATCAGTGGTCACCTCGATCCACCCAGGAAAATCTCCTATACATACCGGGCCCTAGGGAGGTACACTGGAAGCTACAAGGCGTAGAGCTTTTTCGACCTATGCTCCAATTCTGTGGAACTCATTGCCTCCATACATGAGAGCAATGTCGGAGTTGTGACCTTTTGTAAAGGCGCTCAAGACTTGGCTGTTTGGTTGTGCATTTAAGTAATCAGATCTAATTTGCCAAATAGTCACTGTTGAATGTTTTTATGTGGAATGTTTTTATATTGTGTAAATGCTATTTTAGACTGTAAGTCGCTCGGAGCACCTTGGTGGAGAGCGACTAATTAAGAAATAAAGTGAAGTGAAAGTGTTCCATGTAGAAATTTGCGATGACTGGGCTGAGAGGGCTCCCCATAGCTACTCCATCTTTCTGTTCATAGAACTCATTGTCCCACTGAAAGTAGCTGGTGGTGAGGGATTTTTTACTTGATGTTGGCAACATCCCACCCACAAACTGACTTTGCTCCTTCTATTGACTAGGATGCTCCTAGCAGCCATCAACCCCTACTTCCGAGCCATGTTTTCCAACTCCTTCCGAGAATCTCAGGACGGGGAGGTTCTGCTGCAAGACATAGACCCCACCGTTGTCCAAGCTGTTGTCAATTATTACTACACAGAGGAGATTGCCCTCACCCCGGAGACAGCCGAAGACCTGTTTGTAGCGGCCAGCAGGCTCCAGATCCTCCCACTGCTAGAGAGTTGCTCCAGGTAAACAACCACTTTAAGGGTGGAGAATCTTGAATGCCAGGAACGTATTTGCTGGGTTACACTTTGGTGCAATGTTGCTGTGTTTTTGTCACTCTCTATACCATTACACTACTTTTACAAATGGAAGCCGCTATGTGCTGTTTACACTATGAAACAAAAATTGGAATCTTGTTCCTGGTTTGAAAGTGTTATTTCCTGTTTAATTGTGTGGTACATTCTTTGAAAGTAGTTATTCTACCCCAAGAAACTTTGTTATTGGGGTTGTCACAAACTTATATTGAATTGGTTGAGAGTCGATGAGATATTCATTGAAAAACTAAAACATAAATGATGTTCTTCCCGTAAAAACAAAGTTTTGGCAGTTTCAAAAACTTTTCCCGTATGAAATGACACTTACAAGCCATAGTAAACATAGTGTTACATAGTGTAATAGAATGATAATGATATAATGATGATGATAATATGATGCTATATAATAATGTAAATAATGATAATAATAAAGATAATAATTACATAATGATAATAATATAATGATGATGATGATGATGATGATGACAATGACAATAACGATAATGGGATTAACGCAACTCAAAAACGACTGGACGAATTGGCACCAAATTTGGACACAAGACACCTAACAACCCAATGTATGTCCTTCACTCAAAAAAATTGATTTTGTCATTTGGGAGTTGTAGTTGTTGAGATTTATAATTATACACCTACAATCAAAGAGCATTCTGAACCCCACCAACGATGGAATTGAACCAAACTCTGTCAGTTCTCCCATGACTGACAGAAAATACTGGAAGGATTTGGTGGGCAGTGTCCTTTGGTTTTGGAGTTGTAGTTCACCTATGTCCAGAGATCACTGTGGACTCAAACA